ATGATCGAGCAAACAGCGGATGAGATCACCAAGGCCGAGCGAAAGGAAGCGACATGCTGTCTGAAGGGCATTATGTGTGAACCTTCGGAGAATCCGGAAGTTGAGGACATAGAAAGGCACCTCAGTGAACTTGAAGGAGAACTACAAGTGGTCTTGAATGTGCCTCTGGATCAAGTCAAAAGGAACATCCAGGTGTGGCTTCCAGCCATTGACAAGGAGCTCGAGGTGCTGTTCAAGAAGGGAGGAAATGCCACGTTGAGAAAGATCCCCTTGAAGGAAGCGAAGGAACGTGAACGACGAGGTGAACTCACTATCGTGCCAAGCAAGCTTGTGTTTACATGCAAGCCCCCAAATCAGGGAGCAGCACCCAAGACCCAGGATGGTGCAACGCCAAAGGAAAGCAAGGCAAGATGGAGGAGGAAGTGTCGTCTTGTTTTGTGCGGCAATTTTGCCGAAAGGCCAGAGGGACAAAGCCAAGCCGAGCTCTACGCAGCAGGAGCCTCAGCAGACTCCATGCGAGTAGCCCTTACCCTGGCGAGTGTTTGCTATTGGGCAGGGGCAGGCTCCGACATCAATGGAGCCTTTCTTTTGGCTCCTTGGCCAAAGCACATGAGGAGATACGCGATAGTCCCGGCGAAGACATTGATCATCGCACAAAGAGCTTCCGAGGATGAAGCATGGGAAGTCGACCGCGCACTATACGGCTTGAGAGAAAGCCCGGCTGTGTGGAGTGACTTTAGAAGGCAGCGGCTCAAAGCAGCGAAGGTACCGTGGAAGGACGGTCATCTGGTGCTCAAGGCCACTATAGTCGACCCGGAGGTTTGGATGATCCTTTACTGCGTCGACGGGGCCTCGGATGTGCTGGCGGGCGTCTTGGTCACCTATGTCGATGACCTGTTGTATCTGGCGGAGGAGCAGGTCATTGTCACCGTGCACGCATGGCTTTGTGAAGAATGGCCGAGCAGCCCCCTGGAGTGGACTACAGATGGGACAAAGTACCTCGGGGTCGAGATTGTGCAAAAGGAAGGACATTTTCTGATCTCACAACGTGGATATTTGGAAAGTTTGGTGAGAAGTTATGACTTGGAGCCTGGAGAACATGTACGCCTACCGTGCCCTCGAGAATGGTTGGTCGATGATGGTGATGACGAACAGACCACCGATCAGGAGGAGTACACCCCTGAAGAGCTAAAACGGGCTCAGAAGGTGACGGGCGAACTCCTTTGGGTCACAAGGGCAAGGCCTGATATCCTGTTTGTGGTGACGATGATGGCATCAGCATTGACCAAACGTCCATGCCATGTTTACCGAGTGGGCATGAAGGTGATGGCGTACTTGGCGGCATCTGTCGAAGTGCAACTACAACTCGGAGGACGGCAACCGGTGCAGCAATCGCAAACAGCGGCAGCAGCAACAGACCCACAAGCCTCGCAACACAGTGCAAACGTAAGGTTGAGGTTAGAGGGGTTCTCGGACGCATCCTTCGCGCCGTTTGGAGGCAGATCCTACGGTGCTTCGACTATCACCTTGAACGGCTCGGTTGTTTCATGGAAATGCGGGAAGCAGGCCTTCACTACGATGTCGGTTGCGGAGGCAGAACTATATGAAGCAGCACAGACAACCCTGCTGATGAAAGGAATCCATGCGCTGATCAGCGAGATCGTCAGCGAGGAAGTGCCTCAGGCTTTGTACGTGGACAACAGTGCCTCAGTATCCTTGATTGGAGGTTGTCAAGGGTCATGGCGGACACGTCACTTGAAGGTAAGATGCTCTTTCATCACCGACATGGTTCAGAAGGGCGAGCTGATGGTGAATCACATCAGTGGACGGTTTCAGTTGGCAGACTTGCCAACAAAGCTACATGGAAAGGTTCGTCTCGCTGAGCTTATGGGCCTTTGGGGATTCGTTGGCGGTCCCTTGGCAGGAATCAACGACAAGGTGAAGATCGCGACCCTACTGTATCTCAT